TGAGCCTCTACGATGTGCCCCTTTGCCACCTTCTCTTATTTAACCCTCACAGCATCCCACTAATTTTGCAAGAACCAAAAATATGTTTTGGTCCAAAGATATGTATTTAATGCCAGGCATTGTAGATGTGCACACTTTCAGGATAAGTAATAGGTCAACATTTTAAATGTTATGGACTCAACCAACATGAAAAAAAAAATGGTGGACAGATGGCATTTTCTTTTGTGTTTCTTTTTATTTCAGGAGCGGATCCCAAAGAGTCCTTCTCCTGCTCCTTCTCTGGAAGAGGGTCATCGCCCTGGGAGCCAGACCTCTTCTCACCCCAGCAGCAGTGTGTCCAGCTCTCCCTCTCAGATGGATCATCATTCAGAGAGAATGGGTGAGTATCTTTCCTGAAACAAGTAATTGGAAGATACTCTTTCAAAAAATGTGTCATTAGGCAACAGAGACGGGAGGAAAAAGCTGAGCGAATCAACACCTCCTTAATATAAATGGCTTTTTGAAGTGGTCTCAGAAGTCTTACACCACAGACACTGTTCCAGAAATCAGTGGTGACATGGCATGTTGGAGACTTGAATCTAGCCATAGGTCTGGAACTAACTAGCTAAGATATCTTGGATATGTCACTTAATGACCATAGGTTTCTTTACCTATTATATGGAAATAGTTACTGCCCTGCCTAATGTACTGAATTATTGAGAGATCAAATGAAATATTATATGGAAAAACACTTCAAAAGTTGAATGTGCTAAGGAAATGTGAGGGATAAAAATTACTTTTCTCCCTGTGACTTTAGTTTGATTGCTTATCATCTACTGTCTGAATCTACTCAGGTATATAGAAGTTATCAGGTGCATTCAACTGTAACAAATTCTCATTTAGTATATAATAATTATGGATCAATTGAGCTACGTAAAATCTTTGTTAATCTTCCATACCTACACAATCCGATTTCTTATGTATCCATTTCCTTTAGAGACAATCTCTGCTATTCCTTTAATCTTACCATGAGAATGTTCTTTAAGTGAACTCTAGATTTTTACAGCTCATAATAGCGATTGCTTCCAGCCTCTCCCAAATAATGTGTTTTGTGTGGGAGGAGAGGAATTTGGGGGATTAGGGAAGGTGTTAGGTTATTAGGTCCTGGATTTGTGCTTACAAGGAGGAAGATGATTTCTCCCTTGTGGAAATTCATCCAAGTTTCACTTAGCCTGTCAATATTATTCATTGTTTCTGGCTGTTTAGCTTCATAGTGAGCTCAATGGTTCTTAAATCTGGCTCCGCATTATAATCACCTATAGAGTTTTTATAATTACAGATGCTCAGGCCACACAGAGTTTGATTTTCTTAGTCTAGAATAGAGCCTAGGCAAGAGTATTTTGTTTTGCTTTTCTGTATCTTCTCAGGAGATTCTAATGTTCAAGCAGGGTTAAGAACCATTAAGTTAGAGCTTAAGGCTAATGCCCCTGAGGGAGTAAGTTTAATTCCTGGAAGAGGTGACAGAGGTCTATTACCTTTACTCTGTTCTATGACACAGATGACCTGGTTGTTACAACATTGTGTACAACTTATGCAAGGCAGTCTGAGCAAGACAAGAGGCTATAGCTGGATGACCATTAATTAATCAAGAAACCAAAGCACACGTTCTTCTGTTAGGACAATCTTTGTATTGATGAGGGTAGGAAGAGGGAGAAAGAGAGAGGAAAGGGATATATAGAGAGAATTATTGATTGAGTGCTAGCTGAAAAACAGAATGCATAGGAAAAAATACTCATTGATAGATATATTATAAGAGAATGGGTAACTGACATTTAGAAGTGAAATCAAATATTTCCAAAGCAATGTAATATACTAAGAAAAAAATCTTTTCAACATAGTTTATTTGTAATTGCACTGGCAGTAATTAGGCTCTGTATGCTCATGTGACAGTTGTCCA